ATTGACAAGAGTGCTAAAGCACTTTGCTGCAAGGAAGACCCTGAGCTCAGCACACCTTTCATATTTACTTTAATCCAAACCTGTATTCCACTGATCTTCCAGTACTTTTGTATTTGTACTACAAATACAAAAGCTGAGGCTGGACTGAGACATGCACGGAGCTACTACAGGTATGGATCTACTCTTCAGTTACTGGATCCTGCATATCCAGTAACAGCCTTTCCTGGCAGGCATCACTTTCTCAGCTAAGAGGTTTTCATTTCTTTACAGTATACAAGCTGCTGCAAGCCAGATGAACTCCTGTGTTTTCCTAGTTAAAGGGGTGCTGAGACCACCACACCAGGAGCTGCTGCCATGCACACTGGAACACAGAAAGTTGTCTTGAGTATAGCACCATTAGCAAAGATACCTCTGATCCTTTCCCAGTCACACTTTATTTTACCTCCCATACTATTGCTGGCTTTTGACAATGGAGGGAATAAAAGCAACAACAAAAAGAAGGGTCTACAGCTACAGCTGGTATTAAAATGCTGCCTAGTGAAGAATTACACAGCCTAACTAACCTCTTGCCAGACTAGTGTTCTTACCCCTAATGTACTGACAAATTTCAAGAGAGGCTAGGAGGTTTGGGACTTGCCCCAGCAGCAACAGCCTTTACTGTGTTGGCAGCTCTCTGTGCTAGAATTCCTGCACAACAACCCTGGGTTTTGACAACACTTTGTGGGGAACAGAGCTGCTAAAATCTTAAGTTCAAACTGTACATTAAAGGAGCTTTTCCAGGCACAAACACCTAGGAAGGAAGAAAAGAGTAAATCCAAGAAGTTTTTTTCCCTTTTCAGATGTACTGAGAGCAGCTGAACTTCCTTTATGGCCTAGTGTCAGTTCATTGCATGTCAAAAACACTGCAGATACTGACCTGTAGGAAAGTGCCCACCAAAAAACACATTGAATATTTCTTCTGGTGTAATGTCTGCTTCGAATTCTGTGTAGTAATTGTAGTGCCTGGGCTGGCCAGTGCTGACATGCTCCTGGTCACTTCCGAATTCATCGTATCGTAATCTTTTCTCAGGGTTGCTCAGAACTGCAAAAGCATTTCCTATTGCTGGAGAGGGAATGAAAAGAAGTGTTACACAGCTGTATTATGCAGTATTTCAGATGTCAGACTTCTATAAGCAGAGTAGCAATAAAGCCCACATGGGCACAGGAAATTTGTGCTTGACCAAAGATTGAGTTACTTTTAAAAGAGTAAAAAAAAGTGCTACAACACTGACGTTACCAGTGATGGAATTTATTTCCTGCTATCCCTGGTATCAGGAGAAACACAAGAGTGTTAAAGTGTACGGAGAGAGCTGAAGTGTTTGTAAAACTGAGGTGAGAGAATCCACTTCAGCCAAGAGCCTGAGTGAGGAGGTAACATGCTATCAGATCAAACTAAGCACTGATCGAGAAGTGCGCTTCCATATAATACAGAATTAATAACTCCAGAGGCTAATTAAAATGCAGAACCCTATTCCAAGTTTTTGTCTCCAGTGAAGCTGTATGGCAGATCTATGTCACACTTCACATCAAACCATCCCAACCTCTTCGGTTCATCATCTTCCTTGACCTTTGACAGAACATGGCTGTAAACAAGTTCATAGAGAAATACAACCCTAGCACAGAAACACAAAGAAAAGCCCTTCAGAAACTCCTTCTAACAGTCTATGAATGGATATCTTACTTTCTTCCTGCTGCCTTGCAGTGCTGGTGCAGACAGCTGCAACACAGCACCCAGAGAGCACATGATGTCAGTTTAGATGCTGTAACATTGTCATAGCATCGCTGCTGTCTAAACAGGTTTAGATTGCAAGGTTACTGAAAAGACCAGACACAGAACACTGGACTCCAACTTCAAACGCTTGCATGTATATATGTATGTGTATATATAAAGGGTTTATTTATGACACAGAGTGGGTATTGATTACACAACACCACACTCTCCTGCATGGCCACTACTATTTCCAAGCATTGTTCTGCGCCTTTAGCAGTATCTAAGAATGAAATTTGGGATATGTTTTCATTTGCTTCCGATAGAAATCTCTATTTTGAGGATTAAAAGGCAAACCTCGCCGAGCAGCAGCAGGGTTTTGTGGAGATGGGCAGATCTGTCCGTGACACCACCAAGCTATGTGGGCCTGCATGATGCCTTTATATAAGGCGCACAAGGGTACATCTGGGGGGCCTGCCCTCATCTTCTTGCTCTGCGGCTGCAGGACCGGGGCCCGCCTGCCCTCACCTTTGAACGCCTCCGTTGCTCCGGGGGCACGGTTCTTGTCAGGGTGGAATTTGAGGGCCAGTTTGCGGTACGCTCTCTTCAGGTCCTCCTCGCTGGCATCCTTCTCCACCCCCAGGATTTCATAGTAGTTCCGACACCGCTTTATCCTGGAAGCGCACACAGGGTTACCTCACCGGCCTCTCCCCACAGACCCGCCGCAGCCGCACCCCCCCATATGCCTCGTCCCCCGCTGCTCTCCCGCCGCCGCCCCGGCCCCCTCACCGCCGCACGCCGTCCAGCTGCTCCGCCGTGTAGGTCATGGTGGCCGCGGCGGGCCCCGGCGCAGCCCGCCCGCCCCTCCGTCCCTCCCTCACAGCCCGGCGGCCCGGCCCGCCCGCGCCGCCATGTTGTGCGCGGAGGCGGCGGCCGCGCGGGGGCCTCTGGGTAGGGGAGGCGCGGTGGGGGCTGCAGGAGCGGGGTGCCGGCGGCATGGCGGGCGGGGGGGGGTCCGGTGTCCGGGCCTGTGTGCTGCCGTGTGACCGGGGAGAGCTCAGCGCAGGGACAGCAGCCATGGGGAATGTTGTCCCTGCATCAGCGCTAACGCCGCCTTCCTGCCTTGGCAGGGCTGTGGTAGATGATCATAAGCTGTTGCGTTGAGGTTGGAAGGAGCCCACGGGAGCGCCCCAGTGCCTCCTGGCCAAGCTTTGGTTGGAAACCCACGGTGGGCTTGTCCTGTGGCTCCTTCCAGCTGCATCCGTGCGCTGCTGGTTGTTGCCTCATCCGTGGGGCAGTTACAGCAGGGTTAATGCTCCTTAAGGAGTGGAGCTGTGGTGTGCGGGAGCTGCTGCCTTGCACCAGTGTGCTTTTGTGGGAGCACAGCAGCTCGGAGGAGGCCTCGCGTGAGCAGCAGCGAATGGAAGTTGGGGATCATGTCACCTCTGGTGCTGATTCCTGTGGAACTTGGCTTTGGGTGCAAATTGGTTTCAGAATGGAGCAGGTGCGAGTTATTTGTGGGTGGAAAGAAGGTTAGGTTAGTATGGGAAGAAGCAGGTCAAAGGAAGGAGAACTAAAGCAGCAGGAGGGTCCCACAGGGCAGCCTTTAGAGGTCTGGGGAGATTTGTCTGCCCTCCTGCAGACATTTAACATTAGTTAAAGCTGGATACTCACTGACGAGTCTGGTGTTACAAGTACTCACCTGCTGCCTTTGTGGTGTCTTCTTGGACTAAAAACCTACTCATAATGCTCCATGCACCGTGTCACAGGTCTCTGGTATTTGGAGCTATCTGGATCCACCCGGAATCTCCTGGGATCTTGGGCTTAAACACATTCACCTGCCTGGGGGCGGCTGGGTGAGTGATGCCACCTTACTGGGCAGGGATTTTACCAGAAAAGCCTCATTTATTTCAGAACAGCTCATCAGTTATCTGGTGCAGGTGTTAAAGGTAGGAAGCAGGGTGGATCTTAGGAGGAGTTGTGTAGATGTGTTGCGTTTATTTTGCCGAACACTTCATTGCCAGCTGCAAAGCACAGTTACCTCTACCAGTGCACGTTCCAGTGAGCATCCCTTACCCGTCCTATAGAATGAAATCAGGCTAAGTTATGATGTGTCATTGAGCTGTGCGGGGGAGTGTGTGCAGTGAGGCCTATTATGAGTGCTTGACTAGGTCTTTTTTTCCTGACTTCACAATTTACCTTCAGGGTTGATGGATGTTGCTGCTCATGCTAGGAGAGGTCTGGAGATTTCAAGAAACCTGGAGAGGGGCTTTGGACAGGGGCGTGTAGGGACAGGCCAAGGGGAATGGCTTTAACCTGCCAGAGGGGAGACTGAGATGAGCTCTTAAGCAGAAGCTCTTCCCTGTGAGGGTGCTGAGGCGCTGGCACAGGGTGCCCAGAGAAGCTGTGGCTGCCCCATCCCTGGCAGTGTTCAAGGCCAGGTTGGACACAGGGGCTTGGAGCAAGCTGCTCTAGAGGAAGGTGCCCCTGCCCATGGCACGGGCTGGAGCTGGGTGAGCTTTAAGGTCCCTTCCAGCACAAATCAGTCTGGGATTCTATGAGAAGGCAGTATCTTAGTGTGCTGCTGCCAGGTAGATGAAGTACTGTGTAGGTGAGGGTGAAGCTTGCAAACAGGACTCATGGTGAAAATGGGCAGAAGCAAATGTACTTGTAGAATTAGTGCTCTGGTATGTTATGCTGCTCAGTAAGGCAGCTGAGACCTCCAGAAATACCTGACAGCACGTTTCTCTTGCGGCTGTGTGGAGGTTGGGTATTGATGTTTCTATCATCCTCCTTGCTGAGCTTGTAAGTATTTTGCTGTAGGTGGTGAGTAGTTGGCAGCTGGGTCTGAGCCAGCTCAGGTTGGGAACCAGCTGGCTCCAAATACAGGCTCTTGCACTGTGGAGCCTGACAGAGGACTGTTCTTGTGATCATAGTGATTTGGGGGTGCACTAATGGCTCTTGGTGCTGTGGAAGGGGGTGTTGCTTTTCTGCTCTAGCAGGAAGCTCTGAGAGGGCAGTGGTATAGAAGATGGAAGCTCTCCCAAAAACCATGAGCTACCAAAGTTCAGGAGCTGAGGTAGCTCAGCATTTTGCTTGCAGCCACTCCTTTTTACACTCAGATAAAACCTTGTCTATGCAGGGACTTTGTTCTTCACTGTTAAGTCTTCTTTGAGCATGTTGAACCTGTGGGCAGATAGCAATCTGCCTGCCTGCAGCTCAGTTATTAATAATCAAGTATTTCAGATGGCAATTTGCATTTCAGCAGCACCTTTAATTCTTGGCTCTCCAAATGCTTTCCAGACATAGATTAACATAGTCTCACAACAAGCATGTGAGTTAGGTGGATGTGGTCATCCCCACCACTCTGGGGATGATGAGGGTACTGAGGATAAGGGGCTTGGAGCAGTTGTGCTGGAATTTGACACAGCACTTGGTCATTTAAGTCCCATTAGGCGTCCAGCTTCAGATCATGCTATTCTAGTGCAGGGGTTTGACTGAATGTGGGGCTGGACTGATTGAGAAGCTTGTGACTGGCTTGCACAGACTACAGAGGCCATTAATCTAAGGCAGCAGTTTATTGGTGAAGTAGATGGTGCCTTGGTGGTTCTTGCTGCTGGAATAATCTGAGTGTTGAAGGCTTATAAAAAAATAGATATCAACCACTGAGCGTGGCAGGCTGTAACTGGAGAAAGCCCTTAGACCCCAGGTGGGGAAGCTACGTGGGATGCTACTGTACATGTATTGATCAGAAAGGACATAATAATTTATATATAAGTCCACTCTTGCACTTCCCTAAAGATAAAAAACCCCTAAAAACATAATAAAAAGAACGTAGAAAGTCATCACTGGTTGTGTCAGCTTCAAGCTCTGGGCTCTTGGCTTCATAGCACCTACAAAAAGAGCAAAATACAGTGCATCAGCAGCCTTTTTGGCTGGCAAAAGAAGTTAAGCAGTTTGTTCTCTCAAACTCCATCCCAGCTTTAAAATGACTGAAAATGCTGTGAATGACTTGTGCCCAATGAGTCTGAGGGTACAGGTGGGGCTGTGCTTCAGCATCTCCTGTGGGGGAGGAGTGGGTCAGCTTGGACTAGAGGGTGAGACCTTGATTTCTCAAAGGCTAGCTTAGTTACCTCTTCATTTAATGGCAGATCCCTCTGCCTTTGGTGGCTGGCCCTAGGGGATGGCACCTATATACATGAGATATACTTGATGCCTTGAGTTCAGACAGCTTGAATAGACCTGGAATAGATACCCAGACTTTTCACCACTCACTAGAACCAGTTTGGACCTTCAGGAGTTTGATGGTAGCTGGGTTTTATTATCCTTCTGAAGGAATAAGAGAACAAAGAAATACCTCAAGGGCATGTTCTTATCTAGCAAGAGAAATAATCCCCAGATAACTCTCTAAAAAGCAAGGCTTAGAAGGGAAACCTTTTCTGATGGTGGGTAACTCATGCTGTTGTTCATGTTGATGTTCTTCATGGAGATCAGGGTGATGCTGTTATTCTTCTGGCTTGTGCCTGCTGAGCAGCTGTCAAAAAGAGAAGGCAGCATTAACCACTCTGGAAAATGAGGGGGGAAGCTTCTTTGTGCCCAGCTGGAGGCAAGCAGGCCTAGTGCATGGGGCCAGGGGTGACTTGCCCTTGCTTTTGAGCTGCTGTCCTGATTCAGGCCTGTCCTTAGTGCCAAATTTCCCATCCCCATCTGAACACAGGTTTGGAGATCTCTGGGGTAACAGGCAGTGCATCGAGGCAAATCTGGATGTGGTGCTGGCTTGCCCTACACGAAGCACCGTTGTCACCTGTGTCACTGCTTGTAAGCAGAATCAGTTCAGCCATTTGGATCTGGTAGTCAGTGACTCAGCTATTACCAGAACTGGAACAAAAGGAAACATCACCGTGTCCTTCTGTCCTACACCCTTGGGTTTATTTGTCATTCAAGGGGAGCCCTGGGTATTTTTATATCTGCTGCTGCTCATGGATTGCAGTGTCTCTCTTTACAAGTCACAAGTGTCAGGAAGGTGAAATTCTCCTTTTTTACCTACCTTGAGGGCTGGGATATGCATTTAGTGCAGTGGAGACTGGATGACTCTGGGGATTAGGGTGCCCTTGGGAGCATAGCTCTCTGACATATGCTGCCTCAGTGGCCTCAGATCACTTAGATTGCAGTCATTAAGGGTATTTGGAAACTGTTGATGCAGATTTGGCACCTAAATACTTCAGGACTTTGCTCCTTGTATCCCTTGCCTCTTGCCAGAGCAGAATTTATGACTTTGATAGGAAACAGTCAGTTGGAAAAGTAGGAGCAACATGTTTTAATCCCTTCCAGCTCTTGTTTCCTGCTCCTTTCTCACATGTAGCCTCTTCTTTGGTAGCAGGGATGGACCATGGGGTTCAGATGGACTGTCCTCCACTTGATACTTCTCTTTCAAAAGCCTCTGTACTTGCTAGATAACAGTAATAGGTGTCTTGGAAGATATTTTTGGGGACCTGATTTCATCTCACGGTGGCTGCTTTAAGATCCAGAAACCCAACTTTAGACTTTAAGTCTGTATCTAGGCTAAGAAAGACAAGCAAACTGCTTTTGGAAGGTGCTGAGTCTTCACAGGTAACAGTGCAGCTTTGAAATGAGACCCCTAAATCTTGAACTTCTACCTTGGATTCCATCAGGCATAGGATGAGGTGCTATCAAAGCTGATTTGGGGGTTTTTACCTCTTTCAAAGATGTCTTGAAATGCTTCTTTCCACATGAAATAACCAAAGCGGGCACTTTTCTGTGCTAAAAGTAGGTCTAGAATAAAATTGGCACTTTCAATAGAATATGACTAGTGTGAGCAGCCTTACCTCTCTGATACCATGGAGGTTCCTGGTTTCTGTTTGTCTGGAGGGAGAAAAGCAGTTGGTGATGGACAGGTGAGAAAACATCGCAGCTAAGCAGTAAAGTAAGTCAGTTATACCGAATCACGTTGTACAGGGTTATAAATGAAATCCAAATGAGATTAAAGACACCGTGGGGGGTACTTGAGAGGTGGTTAGAGAGAATTCTTCAACTAATGTGACACATGGGCAGGATTGAAAGCTTTGCCGCCTGTACAGTCAAGTCTCTAGGATCCTTTGGTCTTTGGCAGTTATTAGCCTTGCTGTGGAGCAGCCTTGCCCTCTAGTGGGCACTGCTTAGTGGGAAATGGAATTCCTAGGGAAAAAGGAGTGTGAAACTCCATGATTTTAGCTGGAAGAGCTGCTCACCTTTGCAAATCTGCACATTTAACTGCAGCAAACTTCAGGCTGTTCACTTGTGCAGATGGGCCTGGGCTGGGACTCTAAAGAGGTGGTCACACCACATTCCTAACTGCTGAATCTGTGTTCCAGTTTGGCTTCAAAACGTCAGCACTGTGTAAGCTTTTTAAAAGCATCTTTTAGGAATTGCCAAATCCACATGAAAACTGATGACTTTTTGATTAGGGAAAGACAGATCAGCCCAGGTAAATACCTTCTGAGTCCTTTGAGCGGTTACACTTGAATCTCAGGCTGACCACGCTGACCAGAATGATCACAACCACTATCAGGATAACGATGAAGCTGATGACACCTGGGGATGCAGAAAGGACTGTTGGTGATTGATATCACAACGTGCCTGTCCTTGGCTTCTGAATAGCAGAGAGACTTTGTCTTCAAAACTTGGGTAGGGAATCAGTGTTGCTATTAAAATGAGCAATGGTAGTTAATAGAGAAGTAAATAGTCACTACAGCAAATGGCTTTATCCTCTTGTGTTATAGCCTCAAAGGGCTTCTGATTACTGAATTGGTAAGGCAGTGCCAGGAGGGCAGAAGTCAGCTGATTACACTGGGGATTGACTGGAGTCAATCTATCCCTACTGCAGTTGGTAAATCTTATCCTAAAGGTGTATAAAGTCAGATAAATATGTAATGTAATAGGGAGAGACAAGCGAAAGACTGTGAGCGATGTTATTTGTCTAATAAACCAGTGTTTAAGTCCAGATCTGATTCTGATGTCAGGCCTCAATAAATCAAACTCATCTTTGCACGTGAATCTTGCACTGTTAAGATTGCTTTAGGACTTCCCGTGGCTTCCCTTAGAAGATACAAGCAAATGATACTTCTGAAGTCAACACTTGACTATTAAAATGCTTCTGAAATAACAATTTTTTTCCTTTAGTATGATATAAATGAGTAAATTGGCTTTTTTTGCTCATCTTCATGGAGAAGGGGGACAGTATAGGCCAAGACAGAATGGGTCTCTTAAATCTACTCTGTGCCTATCTTCAAATGTAGTGCCAGGTTAAGGCATGGCATCTCTTGTTCCATCCTTCAATAATCTGAAGCATGTGGAAGATTTGACTGCTTCCTGCCAAGCAGGGTGCAGATACACAAGGGAAAGCAGGAAGGCGGGATGGGAATGAAGGGTAAAAATAATATGGCTAAGTTTCCAGGCAGGTACTGTATTTATTCTAGACCCTACCAGGGGAACCAAGGCATATAGGATGATTTGTGCTCAGGTCTTGCCCTAACAGGGAGCTGGGGCAAACGCTGGTGCTGAGAGCAAGATCTCAAACTCAGGTGTAGCTGTGATGGACTTCCAAGTTGTCTGTCCCTTGTATACTGGACATGACTGTTATTTATTAGGTGCTTTATTGCCTGCTGGTGACAAGTGTTTCTTGATGGTTGTACCCTGAAAACTCCAGGATCAGGCATAACTGTGGAGTTATCTTGGGGGAAGCATCTTTGAAGATGGGTGTCCAAGTGAAAGAGACCCCTCTCCTCTCCTCAGGTTGCACAAGACCTTACCGAAAGCTGCCACTGTCAGTGGGGATTTATCATCTGTTGGAGTGGGCACAGGCAGGTAGCCAGAGGACATTGGTGTTGGGGTGACTGGATTTGAGGTGCCTGCAAGAGAGGGAAAAAGGAAGCTTTATGTAAAAGGCTTTCTTCATGGTTAGGAAGAGGATTCCTAGCAGTGCTAGAGGACCTAACTTGCGCTTGAAGAGAATAATGATGGATCCTGACCAGCCGCATCCATGTTAACAGCAAAGTGACCAAGACCTGGGTAGGAGTCAGGCTGCCTTTTGTGAGCAAACTGAGAACCTCCACAGGGTTTTCTGCAGGGTCCCCAGTGAGGAATCGTGAAGATTTGGAAGAGATCTTCAAAGGTCAGCTAGTTCCAGCCCCCTTCAGGAACCTGAGCATGAAACCATTCTATGATTCTATGTGTTTGTGTGGAGAGTTTATCCCATCTCCCTCCTGTTACAACCTTTTGCCATAGGGCACCTTTCCTGATGTAAATCACAACCACTGCTCCCAGGCTCAACAGGTTGCCCTGAAGTGCTGCTTCTGTGGAGCTTTGCAGGTTTTTCAAGGGCTAAATGGGATGGAGAGCATCCCTCAGGTACTTGCTGGCTGTTCGACATGCTGCCCTGAAGATAGTATGATGGGCTTGCTGTTGGCTATGTAAAGGGCTATAAAATGTCTAGTGGTAATTACCTCCCTGTGAGAGAGTGGAGGAAGCACCTGGAGTTACTGATGCTGTGGTACTCTTGCTTCTCGTGGGCTCTTGACCTGCTTAGAGAAACACGAAATGTGAGTCTTGTCCTTGAGCATCATCTCATAACCAAAAGAATTAATGGGCATGCTGGAGAGGAGAATGGATTCATGGTAATGCTGGCAATATCTGAGAATATGTGGAGGTTATAATCAGGCTACAACCTTCCCACCAAAAATACTTTGTACTATTTTCCATGTCCAAATAGAAACTCAGGGAACCAAAATTCAAATACCCTTGTATTAACTCATCAGGTTCTGTGGCCCCTGATGCAGTTTTGGGGCAGAGAGAGCAACTGAACACAGAGAGTGAATTGGGAAGGTTATAGATCTGCTATTGCTCATGAACACTGAGATTTTGGGGAAGAAATTCTGCAGAATATGGGCGTGAATTGACTGTTCGGCTTGCCCTTTCACTTGGAATTAGTGGATATGCTGTCCTGTGTGACCTAGAAGTAATGAAGCTAGTTTGAGTTACACCATCTGTGACAGTGTAGAGGTCGGTTTGAGCAAGGACTCCAGTTCTCAGTGGGATAAACTGGCTAATATGAGGCTGTTTGGGATGTGCCAGCTGCTTCCAGTGCCTCTGCAAGCAAATGTAAAGCTAGCCTGTGTGTCTCACTTCTACAGAGAGAAAGAAAAGTCCTTGTTGCCTCCTGGATGTGTGTGGAACTGCCAGATTGTCTGCATGGACCTTATTCAACAGCTACAGGCCCTGTCAGGAGACTAAAAATGATACTTGAATGTTTCAGAAGATCATCTGTAGGTCAAATAGGATCTTCTTTCCTCCTTTTCTGTCCCCATTTCTCAACAGCAGCATTGGCCAAAAGTATGCGATGCCTGGAGAAGCGTGAAGCAGCTCCTGGCGCTGCACCAGGCACGGTGTGCAGCTGAACTGGGGTTCCTGGCTTGCACAAAACCTCACTGTTTTGGAATGCAGCTTTGCCAGAAGTCAGAAGGAAAAGGGGAAGTGCTGTGTAAAGGGGAAAGGGTATGCAGTGACACATCTAACTGGCTCAGAAACCACGTGGAGCAGAACAGCCCTGAGAAGCAGGGGCTGCTGCTGTATGGTTTTTTCACCACTCATCAAACTGTGTTTCATTCTGGAATTGTTCTTCTCGCCACAGGTGATGGGCAGAAGCTGTGGTTTGCTGAGTCTGACGTGGATACCCCATCGCTGGGAAATGGTGGGTCTCACACAACAGGAGATCTCACTTTTGGAAGCATCTGTATAGTCAAAGATGTATGGAGCTTCTCAGGTGTAAAGCAGGGTTATAATTAATAGCAATCTGCTCTGCTGCAAGGGGCTCTTGGCTTGGCTGGGCACAGGCATGCTGGTTGGACATCTGTGCAGGCAGAGCTGACCACAGGTTTTTAACCTTGCTTGCGCTGGAGAAGATCTGAGAGGGGCTTGGAGGGGCAGAACACTTTGTCTTGACCACTGCAGGTTTTTTTTTAGGCTGAATCTTTAATGGAGAATCAGCTCAGTTGGCAGATTCCAGTCTTCCCCTCCCTTGGGTTCTGCTCTTATTCTGAGAAAGCTCTCACTGAATGCTCAAGTTGTTGGTCTTTTTTTGCTTACAGGTTGGGTTAAGCAAAATGTCAAAAGCAGAACTATTCTTTTTAGAAGGATGTTAAAGGGGCTCCCTTTTCTAAGCATAGATCAGTCTTTCAACTGTTCAAGTTCATGCCAGGTGAAAGATGTTAAGTGCACTTGGTCCTCTGTTTTATCACTGCTTGTAGGGATACCAGACATGATTTTGGGTGTTACTGATTGCTCAACCCCAAGCTAGACTAGTGCTGAGGTAACCTGCACCACGTGAACCAGGTAAGTTACTTGCCATGAAATGATCTAAACTTATTGTTACTCTATAAAAGGACAAAGTACCTTGAGATGCTGAAGTTGCTGTGCTTGTGCTTCCAGTAGGCTTTTCATCTGGGTGAAGAAAACATGGGAAAAGGAGAATTAACTCTTGAAGCTGCTACTGATCGTGCTATGGAAAGCTGTTTGGTTTCTATAGAGTGAAAAAAGCTTTGTCTGCATGAGGCTTCCCCTCCAAACTAGTGTCAAGATGTCCAGCTAGCAAGCTGTGCAGTTACTTTGGAGAGTGTACGTGGGAGGTGAGCTTGGGAGAGGTCTGCTGGGGAGCCTGTAGCTCCTCCACAAACTATTACCTGGTAAAGCATGATCTGGCTCTTCTGATATGAGCTTGCTGAGTAGCTGCCACGTCTAGGTAACACTTCTGTCCAGCCCCGTGGTTCTAGGGAGCTGGAGTGAGCTCTTTTAGCAAAGACTCAGATTCAAAATTGCTGCTACTGAATAAGTAGCATATCGTGGAGTAGCCCAGTCTTTCTGATGCCTCCAGTTTTGCTTGGATAAAGAGGGATACACAAACAGGTTCTACCTGAGCAAAATTTAGAGCTTTCCATGCTTACCTTGCACAGTCAATGTTAGCAGTGTTGTTGTGAAGGAAGAGGACTTGGCTGCAGTAGTTGGACCCACAGAGGTGAGATTCAAATCAGTTGGTGGTGTTGATTTTACTGAAGGCTCTGTAGAGGAAGTGTAGTGTTACTTCAAAGGGTTCTGCTCACCTCAAGTTCTGTTCAGAAACAGCTTGGAGTGGGCCATGGCTATTGCAAAGAGTCCTCAAGCTCCTTGGGAGCTATGGGTAATTGCTAGGAAAGCATGGGCAGATTTCCTTGCGTAGAGAAGGAAATAGCCTTTGTCCTGCTCAGAGTCAGGGAGCTCTTGTGCTTTGGCATTAGCTTTTGCTTTTTTAGTATGTGGAGATGCTGAGCTCACAGAGCTCAGGAGGCATGTGGAGAAAGTATTTTGCCACTGTTTTTTTCCTGCTTAGAAGATGCAGGTGTTTTTATCACTGGACACTTTATCTGGCTGTGGGGTCCTGATGTATTTGCTTGCTTGTTATCTGAAGTACTAACTCCTGTGTTTTGTTTCATGGTGAGTTTCTTAAGCACAGATAATTCAGCTCTGGAAGCTCTGCCATCTTCCTCAACCTGCTACTTGAAGCTCCATAGCATGAACATGATCCAGAGCAAGATGCGGGGTGGGGGGAGGCTTTCAGTAAGCCCTTTGCAAGGAAGAGTGGATCACCAGCTTGGAATTTACAGAGAAATCCCATCTAGACTTTTCTTGGCTTTCTGATAAAAATGTGAAAAGAGTAAAAATGGTTTTAAGGTGTTTTTTTTTGGGGGGGTGGGGTGTGCGTGTTTGTTTTTGTTCTGTTTTCCCTGTGAGGGTGCTGAGGCGCTGGCACAGGGTGCCCAGAGAAGCTGTGGCTGCCCCATCCCTGGCAGTGTTCAAGGCCAGGTTGGACACAGGGGCTTGGAGCAAGCTGCTCTAGTGGAAGGTGTCCCCGCCCGTGGCAGGGGTTGGAACTGGGTGAGTTTAAGGTCCCTTCCAACCCAAACCAGTCTGGGATTCTATGATGATTCTGCAAGTTAGAGCTAAGGCAGTGTTAACCTAATGACTCTGCTTCTCCCTATTCAGTTTAGGGATTTTTTTCCCCTGTTCTTACACCTGTACCTTGGTCCCTCTAGGGTGAGCTGGCTGGGTCAGAAGCCCTTATATCACTAAATTTCCTTCTTCCCCATCACTGTCCTCATCTAACCTGCTGCTGCACAGCCCCATCTATTGCTGGATGGCCCATCTAGGCTGAAGGTCAGAACAGTTGCAAGCCAGGATGCCCCTGAGCCACATTCTGAGGTCTCCAGGTGAGTATTACCTGAGGTATGGTTCTTTACTTCAGGACTGTCAGTTGTTGATTGGGATTGACCTGTAACACAAGCAGAGAGACATGGAGGTGACTTCTCCTATGCATGCTCCTTGTTAGTGGGTTCCCCATGGGGAGAGCTGAAGGATGGGCCAGAAAGGGGCTGTTGTAGACAGTGACAGCTGAAAAGGTGAAGGAAACAGATGGGAAGGAGAGGGTTTGTCACTGGTGTGGCTATAGAGACATGTGGATAAAGGGGCCTTGGCTCTGGGGATCCATGGAGGAGAGTGTGTTAACTGCTAAGAAACGGACATGGTGGCTTCCATGGCCCCTGGAGACCTGGGGGTGGTGAATGGTTAAGTGGGGCAGGCAGAGGTGGGCAATGCAGGGTCCTTGGAGAATGTCCTTCAGTGGGTGGGAGTTCCTATGTAAGGGTGCTCTATTTGCATCCCCACATGGGCATATGCATCCACATCCAAATAGATGTATAAGCAGATCACAACCCAGGAGGTACCTGTAACAGCTTGGACAGAGGACTCTGTGGAGGCTGTAGTACCTGCAATGAAAGAATAAGAGTTTTAGCAGAGCTAATCTGTGACTGTCACTAATGCACTGGTGTTCTTGCTGGTTGTATGGTTTGGGTTTTCCTCACCTTCTGTAGTATTGACTTTAAAATACATGATTTCCCCAAAAGCATTAGCAAAGAAGCAGTAGCAAATACTGAGTGCAAAATTGCAAGGTTCTGAATAAGTTAGGAGTGGAGTTTATTCAGCCAGGATAAATGCCCTCCTCCCCAGATAGAGCAGGACCCTTCAAGGAGATGTCATCTTCTGCTACAGGGGAAATGCAAGGCCATATTAAATCAGTGGGGTCATTTGCCCCCCATGAGCCAGGGATGGGGCATCCACAACCTCTCTGGGCAGCCTGTGCCAGTGCCTCACCACCTGCAACATCCCATTTCTTACCAGGAGCCAGTGTGGGTGAGGAACTTTGTGGTAGGTCACTGTGCTGTAGGTGTCTGAAAGGTTTTGACTGCCCTGGCAGTGGTGTATATCTGGGATGAGATCTTCAGCATCCAGCATATGTTTGGTTATCAGGGCTTGGCTCAGAGCTCACCGCTTGGGACTGTCTGGGTGTAGTGAGCTCCAGATTGATCTCATTCTTCTCATCTAAGTGCATTGGAGCTGTAATTGTTTTTTTGTCTGAGGCTTTATGACAATGATCCCAGCCAAACAGGAACCAAAACAGTGTGTAAACACCAGTGAATACATTATAAAACATGGTCTCTTTCCAGATAGGATTTGGCTGTGAAAACCAGACCTGACTTTTCAGATCGTTCCCATACTTTTCTTTTCTGGCTTACTAGCCCGGCAGAACTGTCTAGTTTAGTTGATGAGAGACAAGGCGTGATCAAATCTTTAATTACAGAGAAAGGAAGGGACTGATTTGTTTTCTAAATCCATTTGGAACAGGCCCAGAAAACAAGGACTTTTAACTGCATCAAGGAGAAGGGAGGCTGGGCAATAGGAAACTGCCTTAATGTAAAGATAGTGAATTGCTGGGAGTGATTGTGTAGGAGAATTGTAGGATATCCTTCTCCACAGGGTTTGAAGAACACGTTAATGAGCATCACTTCAGCAACATAGACAGGTTTATGGGTAGATGTAACCTCACTTACTAAATCAACTAATATAATGGAGAAAAAGATCTTTCAGGGCACACAGTTGCCCTTCTTAAAGAGGTAGAGAAGCTCTTTCTGAGGGAGGGGGATGCATCCCTGTTGCCTGGGAGGCTGTTGGGCACTGCTGCCTCCCCAGTGCCCAGCATGTGATGACTTGGGGTGTTTCCATTGATACTGAGAGTTTGCCAAGTTTTCTCTTTGTCACTGGGCTTCTTCCTCTTAACTAGCGTTAAAACTCAATTTCTGGATGTTGGTTTCCAAATGCCATAGGATACTCTATACATTCAGCACAAAACATAACATGCTGAGATCATCATGGGAGCCAATATCCTCTAGCAGCTGCCAAACTCCAACAGCTCCTCTTTCTTCTAAATTCTCTTGCAGAAGCCATTGTCTTGTTTTCCCATGAGAAGTAGCTGCTTGTAACACATTTTCTTCTTGAAATGATCACAGGTGCTTTTTTTTAGTGTACATGGCACATAAAAGCATCCAGAATTGCTCAAGAAAGGGCTATTGTCTACACTTAGGCTTTGTCAAAGGAAAAGGCGAATAAAGATGCTGGGCTGCCTGCTTATTCCCCTATTTTTGGTGCAGTTGAGGAGAAATCTGGGAGCTTGAACAGAACCTCTAGGGATGGGAAGAAGGTGAGGGCAAGGAACATGACATTGTCCTGTGTGGCCATCCCTGGTGGGGCTATCCCATGGGCTAGCTCCAGTATTCCTGGTGCTAGGGCTAAAGGAAGAGGCTCATGCTCAACACTTTCTTCCTCCTCAGCTCAGCCCTTCACTGCAGCTCACACCAGAGTACTGGCTCATGGGAGTTCTCCCTTTGCGAAACTAAACCTGGGGGTTATTGTGAGTAAGATTTAAAAGCAGGATTTCTGAACTAGCTGATCTTAAGATCCTTTCCAACTCTAACTATTCTGTGATTCTATGATCAGTTCTTGAGGTTCACCTGGGCGAGTATGTTCTCACCATTGTTTGCCACATTTGAACTTTGCTGTGAAGAGGCCAAGGGATGGAATCCTAGAGATGGATCATAGAGATCCCCCTTTTGACACTTTACTTGGGAATAAATGGCCTTGGCTTCTCTAATCACAACCACTGTTATTTCAAAGTGGAGCAGGTCTGGCTCTGACTTCTGGCCACTGCTGCTTGTTATGCCTGCCTTGCCAACTCAAATAATCAAAAGCTCTATTCTATTAGGTGTTTTCTTTTGGTGAGGGTGCTTAGCATCCTGGTGGAATAACATGGGAGGGGGATATACATGTGCAAAGCAGGAAGAGACACAAGCCGTGTCGTGGGGCTGGGCAGCAGGATGGGTACCAACAATGCCACGCGTCACGGCTCCCTGCAGGCATCCCTGGGGACTCTCGTGCAAACGGGGCTGGAAACCATTTCCTGCCAGTGCAGCTGCCAGCACAGCCCCTGCTCCCGTCCACGGCGGGCCCTGGCTGTATAAACAGCTAACAATAATAACCGGGATGCAGCCAGCGCAGCTGGAATTGCAATAAACATCAAAGCCATTCAAAGGATTCGCTGTTGAGCATAAGCATGGCCAAGATATTTGTTGCTTGTTTGGGTGCAAGTGATTTATAGCTGGGTCGTGCAGTTCTAGGTGGAAATGGGGAGTTTGCAGAGGGATTTATGATGGGAAGCACAGCTTTCTGCTCTTGCTGGAATGGGAAGCTCCTGATTATTGGGACTGGTCTTGTTCAACATCTTTGTTGGTGACATGGGCAGTGGGATTGAGTGCACCCTCAGCAAGTTTGCAGATGACACCAAGCTGTGTGGTTCGGTTGATACCCTGGAGGGAAGGAATGCCATCCAGAGGGACCTCGACACGCTTGTGAGGTGGGCTGATGCCAACCTCATGAAGTTTAACCATGCCAAGTGCAAGGTCCTACACCCGGGTCGGAGCAATCCCAGGCACAGCTACAGGTTGGGCAGAGAAGAGATTCAGAGCAGCCCTGCGAAGAAGGACTTGGGGGTGTTGGTTGATGAGAAAATGAACATGAGCCGGCTTCAGTGTGTGCTTGCAGCCCAGAAACCAACCCTATCCTGGGCTGCATCAAAAGGAGCGTGACCAGCAGGTCATGGAGGTGATCCTGCCCCTCTGCTCTGCTCTTGTGAGACCTCACCTGCAGCATTGTGTGCAGTTCTGGTGTCCTCAACATAAAAAGGACATGGAACTGTTGGAACAAGTCCAGAGAAGGGCCACAAGGATGATCAGGGGCTGGAGCACCTCCTGTATGGAGACAGGCTGAGAAAGTTGCGGCTGTTCAGCCTGGAGAAGAGAAGGCTGCGTGGAGACCTCATAGCAGCCTTCCAGTATCTGAAGGGGGCCTATAGGGATGCTGGGGAGGGACTCTTTGTTAGGGACTGCAGTGACAGGACAAGGGGTAATGGGTTAAAACTTAAACAGGGGAAGTTTAGATTGGATATAAGGAAGAAGCTCTTTACTGTGAGGGTGGTGAGGCACTGGAATGGGTTGCCCAAGGAAGCTGTGAATGCTCCATCCCTGACAGTGTTCAAGGCCAGGTTGGACAAAGCCTTGGGTGACATGGTTTAGTGTGAGGTGTCCCTTCCCCTGGCAGGAGGGTTGGAACTGGGTGATCTTAAGGTCCTTTCCAGCCCTAACTATTCCATGATTCTATTATTCTATGATTATCCACAGGGCTACACAGGAGTGCATCAGGGCTGCAGGTGCATTTCAGCTCCCACTTGGTGCTAGCTGCTTTTGGGTTATTTTTTCCATAGGATGAGCAGGGGAATGTTGGATTTCTGTTACTTGTAGTAGTTCCACGAGATCAGATGTGAGTGTTAGCGCAGAGAGGCCTTTCCATGAGGCCTTCTCTCACAGTGATGTTCCCAGAGCTCACCCCGCTTGCTCCTCAGCACAAAAAGAGAATGATGTAAACCAACAGAAAGGTGAATTTTACATATTTCTGCTATGGTATTATTCTTGGCAATCATAGACGTTTAAAGCATGGTTTCTCCAGCTGCAGGGCAAAGAGAGGAACTGACATTTAAACCCCAAACATTGTCAGAGCCTCTGTAGCAGCACTGCTGTAGCAGAGACCTGGGGCAGCTCTTGGGAATGCTTCAGCAAGGTTTGGGTCCAGCTTTGGGAGGGCTTGTGCTGTCCATTCTGTGCTCATAGAGGGATGGAGCTGCAGGGGACATCTCTGGCATGAGTATGAAGGTGCAGGGCCTGGGACTGGTCCTGTCCTCTCAGAGCTGGTGATGGATAGGAACTGCCTGCCTCAACGATGTGTAATCCTGGGCTTGCATTGCTCTTGTGTTCCCTGGCAGGGCTGGGAGGAGCTGTGGTGATGTTCTACATTGCATGGGCGGGATCTGTACAACCTCTGCTTGCAGGTCGTGTGGACATATGCTTTCAGAAAAGAGACCCAGCAGCCTAAAATCAGACTTTTCAACTCACTTCTGTCAAATGACCCATGACAGAAACGCACCAACTGCTTAAAGCAGGGGCAGCTGTTTCCTGGGTGAAACACAGCAGCTGTGGAAGCAGCAGAGAGCAGCAACAGCCAATTCTTAGGGCTTTCAGGGGAAAAAAGAACCCTGTATTAGGAAACCTGGAAAGAAGAGAGCTCTGCAGAAGCCTAGGTCCCATTTTATGAAGTGCCTAAAAAAGCTGCCTCTGCCTCAAGGGTTGTGCAGCAGATAAGGTGGGAACTGTGAGGGAGAGAGGAGAAGTGTTGTAATGCCGCAGGATAACTGACAGCTGCAATCAGGTCCCAGATCCACAGAGGTATTTAAGAGTCTAATTCCCAAGTAACACAGGGGGGTTGGGAACTTGCTGCCAAGTGGTTCTGAATTGTAATGACTTGGCCAAGGTGTTATGGAAAGTTTAAAGAGCCAGGAATGAAACCCGGATCTCATCAGCAATTAAAATCAATCTCAGCTTTCCTGTGTTCCTCCTCAAGGGCAGTGCCCAGGCCTGAGCATCCTCTGGGAGCATCATGCTCTGTGCTCCTCTCTGGTGAGCTCTGCTGGAAGCAGGCCTTAAAGGAAGTCAATTAAAAACCACTTGAATGTAGAAAACAAGCCAGGATACAAACAGTGTGAGGAACTGCGTGTATGGAGTGGGTTCTGCCACCATACCATGTGTGGTGAGGTCTGGTTTCTCCATTAAAAGTGGTTGCTTATGGAAGAGCGAGGCAGCATGGCTTTTCTCCTGGCTGCACCATCACTGCTCCGTGGTGTTTGGAGAGGAAACACTGGTTCTACCAAGCTGCTTCACCCTCCCAGCTACTTCATGGTTCCAGTTTCCTCTATAACCTGCTTGGTTTAGAGTTCTGGGTTTGCTGCTGCTCTTTCTAGTGCTCGTGATGTGGGTCCTGCCCTTCTGCCTATGCTGCTCCTTGGGTTTGACACTGAGTCTGGAGTTTCAGAGGAGGAAATCACTCCATAGAATCCCAGCCTGGTTTGTGTTGGAAGGGACCTTAAAGCTCATCCAGTTCCAACCCCTGCCACAGGCATGGACACCTTCCACTAGAGCAGCTTGCTCCAAGCCCCTGTGTCCAACCTGGCCTTGAACACTGCCAGGGATGGGGCAGCCACAGCTTCTCTGGGCACCCTGTGCCAGTGCCTCAGCACCCTCACAGGGAAGAGCTTCTGCCTAAGAGCTCATCTCAGTCTCCCCTCTGGCAGGTTAAAGCCATTCCCCTTGGCCTGGCCCTACAGGCCCTTGTCCAAAGCCCCTCTCCAGGTTTCCTGTGCCTTAGGCACTGGAGCTGCTCTAAGGTCTCCTGTTACGGTGCCTTCTCCAGGCTGAACCGGCCCAGCTTTCTCAGCCTGGCTCCAGTGCTCACAGCATCTCTGTGCCTGAGACCAGCAAACCCTGAATCTCAGGTACTGGGTTCCAAGGCACTGGTTTCTTACCAGCAATGGGTAAGAAGTTTCTCCCTAAGCTGTAAATCCACCTGCTAGTAAGGCAGAGCCATTGAACCACATCCCTGGTGTTTTCAGGTTTGAAGCATTTTCATGAGCTACCGGCATTAGGGGCAAAGTCTCCTGGAGCCTTTCATATCTCCAATAGCACCTCAGCCAAGAGGGGATTTTGATCTTTTCTGCTCTGCTAGGATGATGCAGCTGAAAGGCAAAACCAGCACCCCAAAACCCAGAAATATGAGAAAGCCTGAAAGAGGGGTTCCTCCTTGTTGTGGTGATTTGGTTGTGCAGAGTGGGCTCCTCTCCTAAGTGGAGTAATGAGGTTACCTAGCTGAGGTACTACACAGGATAAAGATCTCCCTTTTCCAGCCTTGGGCTTAAGCCCACACCTTGGTTTTGCCAGCAGTTCCTGGCATTCCTGGTATTGGGTTACCAGCACCATCCCCTCCAAGGACAGCTGGTGTTGACTCATGTATTGTAAATGGGACATAATTCCTGGAAACCATCCCCGGCTGCTTCAGTCAGGTTTGCAGCGTCATCTGTGGCGTTTTGTGTTACTAGAAGGGAGCAGTTTGTTTTGTGAACAAACATTTTGCCTAACCACCTCCTGCTTTCCCTTCCTTGTTCACCGCGTCAGGGTTGCGTTGGCCTCTCCTTTGGCCAAGGAATCGGCTTCAGGATGCACTGGATGCCCTAGTTGAAGGATGGGAGTACTCTATCTGGAAGCTCTTCTGATAGCTGAAGGTCTGTCCTCTAGCTGCACCCCATTTTGATTAGATTAAATATATATATTAGATCAAATATATATATTGGAATGCATACATGGTTTTGTTATGCTGTTCTTCTCGTGGCATTATCCATTCACTGGCTATAGCACAGCCAGTAAGGAGAGCAGTGGGAAAATCCTGCTGGGTTCTCATCAGCTTGGAGAAGGAGTTTTTCAGTGGAATTCTTTTGTCTGGAAAATGCCTGCCCATTGTAATGGAAACGATTCATAGGAAGAGGTTTGTTTGGACAAAATTACTGTTGAGTGTTTGTGGGGGAGGGAAACCAGGTTAGGAATGTTGCAAACCTTCCCACTTGGGCCATTTCACAGGAGCAGTGTTTGAACCTTCCTTTGGAAATAACTGTGAGCTTAGAAGTTGAAATGAAGTGCTAATAAATTCACTAATAAATTAATGAACAAAATTAAGACAAGAAACCCCTAACAACAACAACAGCAACAAGGTCTGTGTGGGAACAGGCAGGTATTATTTTCCAGCCAAAGCAAATTCTGTCTCTCCCTGCACTCTGCTTGGGTGCAGGGCAACCACTGAGCTCTTCTGAGGTCCTTCATTCCCTTCTCCAGCTGCCTATGTGTCGGGGAACCAGTGGTATCACTGGCCCTGCCTCTGCCCCCTTTGCTAATCCTTGCCTTGCATAGAAGCTTTCCCCCCAAGTACTACACCCCCTTAGTGCCTTTGATATAAAATTACACATACAATTAAAAAAGCCATTTCAGAACTGTTGGATCAATGCAGAAAACCAAGTGAGACAGCATACATGATGGGGAGGGGGGAAGGATGGTGGTTGTGATTGAAGCCAGAGAGGTGCAACCACAGCATCAATGGATGCACAGCGAGCACCAGCACTGTGTTATCACCTGTAGGACCCTGTTGGGGTCCAGCACTGGCTGCCAGGCACACACTTGGTGAGAATAGCCTCTGCCCCAGGGGTTCAAGCAGAGTGCAGAGGACAAAGTGATGCCCTCAGGACTGAGGATGGAGGATGGCATCCCTTCCACCTGATGCTGCAGCAGCCAGGGTCCTGCACTGGCAGGGCGCTGGATCTCAGCCTGATGCAGAGAAGGTGCCTGACCACCCCTGGGCATTCCTGCCCCAGACCAACCATCCCAATTGGCTTCAAGAGGAAAAATAACATTTAGGGCAGGCATTAAGGAGTGTCACAGTACGGCCAAGGGGCCTTGAAGCCCTTTGTCTCATACCAGGCACAGTTCACCCCTCTGCTGAAGCCAGCAGTATTGCTCTCTAATGAAGGGAGGAATTTTCCAATCCATGTGCTGTTACTGCTCAGTATTACACAGCTACTGACTGAATTGGTTTCTACATTCTCTGCCTTTTAAAGCTGCCATTATTACCAGCACAGCAGCTGTAATCCATAGGCAACTTGTATGGTTTAATGATAAAAACTTTGGATTGGAGACACATTATTTGTTAAGTGCTTGTCTATTAGAATCAGTGATGCTGTTTCAGCCTCTATGCCTTTGAATGTGTTTTAGCTCCCAGCTACTACAGCTGTCAGCAAAGCAAGAGGTGCCTGATGATGCAGGAAAAAACAACCTGTCACCCTTCAGAGCAGGAAACCCATTCCGTCATCCCAAGCCACGACTCACGTGGGAAAGAGAACTTAAAGCACAGTTATCACAAAGGAGCAGGTTATTACAGTAAGGATGAGGTATGGTCTGTGTGAGTCCTGCAAAGGAGCAGGTTATTACAGTAAGGATGAGGTATGGTCTGTGTGAGTCCTGCAGGTGGTTTTTGTATTCATATTGATGAGAGGAAAAATTAAAATGGGTCAAGGAAAAAAGATTATTGGAGAAAACAACATCCTCTATGTTTAAATGTTGTAACTTTTGTCAAATAAGAGTAAAGTCATGTATAACAAAATGCCTCAGCATCACAAAACACAGCAGAAACACTCCTTCTGTTAACCAGGGTACAAGTTATTTCATTCCAGTGCTTCAAAATAAACCCTGTACCCCTGCTACAGCCACACTTTTCCCATCAACCTGACCCCTGCCACCCCTGAACCTAAAGGCTGAGCTTTCCCATGGCAGCTACTACATGTTCAAACCTCTGGCAGTTCCCTTTGATGCCCCCCATGAAGCCGGGCACCCCAAATCCACCCATCCAGCCCCTGAGGAGCACCTCACCTCGGAAGAGCATGCAGCCAAACAGCCAGAGGAGCGGATGGACGGACGGAGCCAGCATCTTCTCTGTGGCTTGTGGCTGTGCAGCCCTGCTGAGGCTCTGTCCATCCCGGGAGGAACAAGAGGGTGAGGAGCGATTTGCCTGCCTGGGCTGACTCTCACAGAGCTTCCTGTTAAAGAATAGAAGGAAACGGGCTGAATCCACAGGGGAACTGTGTTTTCTAGCCCATTATGGTCGGAGAGGATGTGAGACATCGCTTGCCGATGCAAAGGAAACCTCGCCATCAGTTGGTGGGGGGATTCAGCTCTGGTAGTGGGGGAGAACAGTGGCACAGTGGGTCTGCCCTGCCTTGGGCCTTGGCAGCTGCCTTATGGTGATTGGGGTTTTTGGGAGATGCTTTGTTTGATGCCCCATGCCTGTACCTCCCTCTGCAGCTCCAGTGAGTCTGGGCACCTGGATGCTGGGTTTGCAATGCTGGCTCTGGGATGCTGCTTTTCAAGTGTCAGCAGCATCCTTCCCTACAAGATATGCAGCGCACAGCACTTTGGTTTATCCTAATCCCTGTTCCTTGCCAAGAGGCGAAAGTGGGAAACTGGGGCATTTCTGCCCCCCATCCAGCCTAAGGGATTTGGGGCATTTGGTTTCTTATCCCCAACCTTGCTGTGCACATCCCATCTATCCCATGCTGGCATAGGTTGAACTTCAGAGGTAAACAAGTTTGCCCTGGGTTAGATGTAAATGGATGTCTGGGGGGAGGAGAAGGGTCTTGGTGTCCCCATGTGGGAGAGGTGCCTGTGTCCACCTAGCTTGGAGGATCTGTGCAGGTGTTGAGGATGCAAATCCACGGCACACTGTCTCCTGGCTCGAGGGGCTGGTCCAGCCCTTGGAAAGCTGCAGAGCCTCAGCTGAGGGCGATGGAGCTGCTCCTTTACAGCATGCAGCACATCAGAGGGGTGATATATGCTGCTGGCAATGTCTTTGCTTTCCATGGCTGGGAGAATGCAGCAGGAGTGAAGGGAGAGATCTGTGTCCTGTACAGCACCTTGTATTTCAGTGGGTCTCCTCAAACACCTCCAAACCCACAAGCAAACCATCAGGCCAAAAGCAGGCAGCATCCCACAGCAGTTTTGCCTTTACAAAACCTCTGTCAGCAGCCTCCCCCATCATTTTCTGTCTCCCTGGCACAGATGTGATGCTCAGAGATTATGCTGTAGATTAAGGTTTTACTGAATCCTGAAATGAGTGCAGATTCCCAGAAGCTCTAACGTATGGGCAAATCTCTTCTGGATGCTGGGCTGGATGGGGGAAGAGACATTTCCCACTCCATCCTCTCCATGTGCAGGGAAGACAAAGCCCATATATTCACCCCAGCTTGTCTGCTGAGAGCCTCCAGGTAAGAGCAGTGTTGTTTGGGGATGAAAAGATGGGGAGATGTGTTTTGTAGCGGTTGAAACACCCAAGGATCCAGCTTTTCTGCTCTGAGATGTGCTCAGGGTCACTTCAGGTGGCAGAGGACCTGGACCAGGCACAGCACCCCTGGACCAGAGGGATGGTACCTACTTGCATGCAGGGATAGATGCTGCCACGCTTGAAGGCATCCCTGCAAGCTTGTGTGCGGGGAGAGATGTGTGAGCGCTGCCTTGGCACTGGCTCCTGCCTGTGACCCTGAGCAGGTCCCAGTGTCCAGAGCTGCACCGTGGGCTCACCCTGCTACTGGAATGGTCCTTCCACGGCAGCAGGATCCCCAGGCAGAAAGAATCAACCCTGGAGCTGCCCCATCCCTCGGGGTGAGCGTCCTTGGAGCCCCGAGCCCTGTGTGGGTGCTCCGTGGGGCTGTGCGGAGCTCACCCGGGAGGGTGCCGTGGGTTCTGAACCACCCCACCCTTCACACATGGAAGGAGGGAGGTTTCCTGCGGCGGCGGGGCCTTTCAGCCCGCACAAAGGGCCCTTGTCTCGCCGCGGGAGAGCAAGGGTTTTCCAGCCGTGGGTGCGTGCTGCGCCGTGGGAGCGGGCGCGGCGCTGATGTGGCACCGGGCTGGGTGGCAGTGACCCGGAGCACCCTTGGGATGAGCCGCTGCTTCCTCCTCTGCACCGGGGACTCCCGGGGGGTGCGGGGCCCAGGCGTGACGTGGCAGCTTCCGAGGTGAGTCTGTTCCTACCTAGCCCTGAGGCATCCGGAGGCTCGGCTGCCCTCAGCGCCCCGCGGGAGATGATGATTCCCATGCAGCAGGGACACCGAGGTACCGCTGCGGGGCTGGGGAGGGCTCTGCCTCCCTGCTTTCCCCCCTACCCGTGCTGGCTCCCATGGGGTTCTGTGGCTGTGGCAGGGGCTGCCTCGCGGGGTGTTTTGGTGGGGATGGGTTTGGATGAGCACTGTGGGGCTGGGGGCGAAGAGGGGAGGGTGAAAACCCATGTCCATGAGGCCCTTAGTGACATGGTTTAGTGGTGGAGTTTTGAGTGCTGGGGGAATGGTTGGACTCGATGATCTTAAAGGTTTTTCCAACCTGGTTTATTCTATGAGTCTGCAAGGTCGTGGAGAAGGAAGAGCCCCCCACTGAAGGTGTCCAGGTTGAGGGGATGCAGAGCATCACCCTCAGCTGAGTGTGTCCAGGGCAGCATCCTACAACCCCAGATAAACTGATCCCATCCCACAGACACTTACAGCACCACCCCATTCCCTGGCAGCTGCAGGTGCAGGAGGGAGCTGCCGACTCGAGGGCAGGACACCAGGACATCAGCCGGCCTCTGCTCAGTGGTCACCCCGTTTCCACCCCGTGTTTCCCTGCCCCAGGTCAGCCTGCTCAGCCATGAACGCCTCCGCTCCCAGCAGCCAGCTGAGGCAGCCTGAGCCCCAGGACGTGGCCGCCTTCACCCCCATCACCATCGTCAGGAGCGTGACGAAGAAGTCTGATGCCCTGCCCATGATCTCGGTGATCGTCCTCATCTTCGTGCTCTTGGCCGTCTTCATCATCGTCGTGGTGCACTACGGCCCGCACCTCCGCACCGTGCAGATCACCCTGTACCACGAGCCCATGCCGCAGGACATGGACAACGGCGTGCACCTCACGGACTGGAGGAAGCTGGGCTCCCAGAAGAAGCTGCCTGCCCAGCCCTGCCCGTGGGACCTGGCCGGTGTGAGCTGCCAGTGCTCCTGCAAGCACCACCTCCCCTGCGGGAGCGCAGAGCCCAATGTCATCGAGATCACGTACCTGTGATGTGCCATCTGGGGAGGGCTGGGGGGCCCGTGTCCCACGGGATGAGCAGTGACTGGGATGTTGGCTTAGCCCAAGACTCACCGGTTCCTGCTCCCCAGGACTGTGTCTCTCCCCCAGCAGGCTCAGTGGGGGGGGGTTGATGTCACTGTGCTGACTCATCATCAGCCCCCACAAGTCCAGCCTTGGGGTGCTGCTGTCCCCAGCCCAGGCTCCGGGGCTGGCTCAGCCTACTTGGGACAGCATTAGCATCTCTTCTGGTTTTCCTCGCCCTGGTTTTACCTGTCCCACGCTGTCTGGGAGTGGCCGGGAGAGCTCTTGGTCCTTGTCCAGCTGGGGAGCTCTGGGCCTGTGCTCATCCCCTTGGCAGGAGCTGGAAGTTGCATCACCTTGGAATTGTTTTCCAGCTTAAAGGTGTTTCCACATGCACAGTGTCCTCATTATGCTGTTTCTACAGCATAGGAAGGCCTCCAGCCCCTCTTTTCCTCCCTGCCACAGCCCCTCTCCCTCTGTTGGAGGGGTGAAACACTGTCCTCCCTCCTGCAAACAGCCAGAAGAGAGGAGGCAGCTCCTGAACCCATGATGGTGTTTCCACAGAGGAGCCAGCAGCAGAGGACAATGTGTCTGGTCCCCCTGTGGAAGCAGGTGAGAGAAGAAGAGACATAGGATAAGCAAGAGAGGTGGTGATGGCACATTGGGCACCCCTTGCAGCTGGCTGAACATCTGGAGGCGTTGGCACTGGTAGAGGAAGGTGCATCTCTGGGCAGAGCCTGCAGCATCTGTGCTCAATGGCAGCGATGGGGAGACCTGAGCTCATCTTCACTGTGGTCACCTTCATTGTCCCCTTCTCTGTGTGCTGTCCCTGTGCCAAGAGAAGCAGGGACCTGGCGACTGGATCCAGTGTTGGAAGCAGCAGGGCACATCCCATCTGAGGAGGGAGCGATGGCGGGGCTGGCCTGGCCAGAAAAGGCAGACCCACGTTGTCCTAAGCTGCATCCCTGGCACAGATCCCTCTGTGTGCTGCTGGATGAGAAATGAGGTCATTTACCTGTTCCTCTGAACACTGGAGGTATTTCTGACACAGCAGCTGCTCCAGCCTCCTTCCTCTCACTTGTTTTAAAGCCAAGTAGTAGTTGGGCTTGTTGGGAAATTCTGGTCGCTACAATAAACTTAATATATTTTAATTCTGAGGCAGTGTTTTGCTTTTTCCCCTTTTGTTTTCCGGAGCTGACAGTGCATTACCAGCTTTTCCACGCCTCTGGCAGGGGAAATAAGGTGTGTCATTTCCATTGGAAATCACTGCCTCCCCCTGTGTGGTAACAGAGGGCTTATCTTTTAACGTGTGCCTCCCTGATTAGCGAGCACCATCTGAAGAGCTGAACACCTTCCAGGGGCATCTCTAAATGACACCTGTAGCTCCATAGAATCCCAGACCAGTTTGGGTTGAAGGGCTCATCCAGTTCCAGCCCCCTGCCATGGGCATGGACACCTTCCACTAGAGCAGGTTGCTTGAAGCTCATTCCTATCCCTACAGGACTGCAGGGGGACTCTCCCCAGAGCACAGCAGAGGGGCAGGATCCCCTCCCTCGACTGCTGCTCACAGTCTGGGGATGCAGCCCAGCACACGGGGGGGTTCTGGGCTCAAGCGCTCACTGAAGCCAGGTCATGGGGAGCTTCTCATTGACCAAGACCCCCGAGTCTTTCTCCTCAGGGTTGCTCTGAATCTCTCCTCCACCCAACCTGTGTTTGTGCTGGGGATTGCCCTGAGCCACGTGCAGGACCTTGCACTTGGCCCTGTTGAACTCCATGAGGTTCGCAGGGTCCCCCCTCTGCAGCCTGTCCAGGTCCCTGTGGATCCCATCCAGTGTGTGACCGCGCCACACAGCTCCGTGTGATAATCCCGGTTGTGATGTCCCAGCTGCTCCCTCACGGCAAGCGTGGGGGCTCACTCCAAGAGCTTAAGGAACCCGCTCCCACTCTGCACTGTGGTACCCAGCCTGGCCGCACCGTGTCCCGGGGACACTGCCTGCGCCCTGACGTGGTGTCACCCAGCAGGGGATCTGGTGGAGGGAGTCATCGCCCAGCCCTTGTGCTTGTGGCGTTTCAGATCTGGGAGCAGGTTGGTTCAAGGCAAAGCCTTTGCTTGCAGAAGCAGGAGCTTGCAGAGCGGCTGAAGGACAAGCACAGCGGGGAAACATTGTGTTTGCAAAGGAAAGATTAAAAATGTCTAAATATTAATAATGAGAAAGATAAAATGGGTGATTATCAGCAGAACTCATTGATTTGCAGCCGCTGGGGACTCATAATAGTCTGATTTATGTTGCAGCGTGCTGTGCCCTAGATCCATCACTTGCACAGAGAGGGAGCTGAGGAAACCCCACTGGTGCAGAGCTCTTTGCCAGCGCGCAGGGGCTCCAGGGTGTCAAACTAAAAGCAAATAAAGGTGGCAGTGAATGTGGTGCTGATGGGGCTCCAGTTTCCCCAGATCTGAACCGTCCAGCCCAGTCCAGGAGCTGTCAGCACCTTCTTCTTCATAGAATGGTTTGTGTTGGAAGGGACCTTAAAGCTCCTCCAGCTCCAACCCCTGCCACGGGCAGGGACACCTTCCACTGGAGCAGCTTGCTCCAAGCCCCTGTGTCCAACCTGGCCTTGAGCACTGCCAGGGATGGGGCAGCCACAGCTTCTCTCCTTCTATGTGACCTTTTCTGGATGTATCTCGTACTGAAGTCCTGGCCTTAGGATTTTTTCCATGTATTTCATTTGCAAACTTGCTGTTATAAGCAAGTGCCAGTCGTTTGCAGCTTTCTCGTCCAGAGGAACACCAAAGGTTACTCCTCAACTCTGCTCCTCATTGCTTTCTCCTACACAAACCCCCATCATTGTTACAGATTCTCCTCTCTCACATTTGGCCAGCTCTGCTGCTCTCTGCTTATAGGATTGCTCTTTGCAGCTGTCAAAGAAGACATTCAGGCCCTGGAGTGGCAGAGGCTGTGCATGCAAATTCCCATAACAGTGTTACTGTCTATTCAAACACTGAGCTCATCCCAATTTATTTCACTTGTAACTTGCTTCCTCTCCTTAACAATAATCTTTCTCATATGAGCTCAGAGCAACAATAACCCTTCTTATCACACCCTCTGCACAGGGGAGTGCTGGAGCACAGCGAGATGGAGCTGGCACAGACTTTGCAGGTAGTTGCTTTCCTCAAAGCCCGATTTGCTGCTTTTGGAAGCTTCTAAATGCAGCAGCAATGAAGGCTCTAATCAGGGTGTTCACCTGCTGCAGGGCAGCGCCTACATAACCCCTGCAGAGGCACACAGCTCCCCGGGGCGTTCAGCAGGGATGCAGCTGGTGTTGCAGGATGCTCCTGATGCTGCAGGGTTGCCTGGAATTGAGGGGTGCATCAAGTGGGGATGAGGGGAGCTGAGGCATCACCCAGAGCCTCCCTGCAGCGCTGAGACCCGCACCGGGACCTCTGCAGTGGGGTGAGGGCGGTCCCAGCCCCTCTCGTTGGGGTTCGGTGCTCGGTGTCTCTGCCCGCAGGACCGCAGAGCCGGTGGTGGAGCAGCAGTGGGCTCTGGTGGTGGAGGCAGCCAACTGCACGCTGGCAGCACCGAGCGGGGGGATGCTGCCCGCCTCCCTCCAGCTTCGGGGCTGGTTGGAGGGATGCGGCTCGTTCGGGCCCCCCGGAGCAAGGAGGGCGTTGCTGGAGGAGGCTACAAGGAGACACAGAGAGAGCTCTGCTGTGATGGAGGATGAGCCAAAAGGGACCTGGCTGGGGTGGGAGGTGGAGTCCCTTGACCCAGTGTTACCTGCTGCTTGCCTGGAGAAGGTGAGCACAGGGTGGGCCTGGGCCCCTCTTGCAGGTTTGCCTCCCTGCTGTTTGGTGTGGGAGGGTGAATCGTTTCCTTCCTCCTCAGAAAGGTTTCCCCCAAAGCCTCCTCAATCCCTGCAGGTCTTGGGCCACCTTGTGTGTCTGCACCCAGCTCCTGAGGCATGGACTGCACAGGGGTGGGTTAAGGGAAGGCTTTTTCTTGCTGAAAAGAGAGTGACACTTGTAAAGAAGCAATGCCTGGCTTAAGAGGGCTGAACACTGGGACAGCTGAGCATGAGCCCAGGTTGGGGAGAAGCAGCCAGGCTTTTCCCTGCTCCATGTAGGTTTTGCAGCCACCCTCCTGCTGAGGATGGTGCCTTGAGGTACAGAGCTAGGAGAGTGCATCCATCTCGGGGAGCATCCTGTGGTCCATCTCTGTGCCCTGACCCTCCAGTGCCATTTCCCACCCCATGGAGGAACTGCAGAGCAGAATGAGACCAAGTCCTCCTCCCCAGGTAAGCCCTGAGCACCCTGATGAGGCCAAATCTTGGTGTGTCTTCAGTCATCCTCATTTTGAGCTCTTTTCCTACCGATGTTGGTTTCTCATTATTGGATTTGAATTGTTGCCTTGTGCCCTTGCTGCTGGTGTGCAGTGCAGCTCCTGGTGTGCAGTGCAGCTCCTGGCTCCCAGTTAGCACCAAACCAACCCACAATGACAAAGAGCATTTGAAGATCTCCAGCTGTGCTGAGGACTTCAGAATAATGTGGTGGGGCTGCTCCATGCCCTGTGATGGATGGGGAGCGTGTGGCGCACCCAGGACAGCTCTGCACCCCTGCAAGGTTGGGGTGTCCACTGTGCCCTTGTTGCTGTGGAGCCTGGAGAGCAGCTGAGCTTCAGAAGAGTCGGATTCACACCAGTAAATAGCAGTTACATCTGCTTTGGGTGCTAATGGCATCACACAGAAGCTGAGGAATAGTGCTGCAATAACTGGATATAACTGATGCTCTTAAACTGCCAGAGAGAATGGCTTTAACCTGCCAGAGGGGAGACTGAGATGAGCTCTTAGGCAGAAGCTCTTCCCTGTGAGGGTGCTGAGGCGCTGGCACAGGGTGCCCAGAGAAGCTGTGGCTGCCCCATCCCTGGCAGTGTTCAAGGCCAGGTGGGACACAGGGGCTTGGAGCAAGCTGCTCTAGTGGAAGGTGTCCCTGCCCGTGGCAGGGGTTGGAGCTGGGTGAGCTTTAAGGTCCCTTCCAACCCAAACCAGCCTTTGATACTTTCTGAGCTTTAAATGAAAGGGTTTAGGTGCAGCCAACCTGCCAGAGGGGGAATTTTATCTTCATAGACACAACATTGTCTACGGAGGTCTTGAAGCACTTGCACATTGGAAACCTGCCTGGGTGTGAACAGCAAACAGGAGGAGACATGTTCAGGTTTAGCACCAGATTTCACTTTGCTGTCTGTGGTTCTAGCAGCCTCCAGCTCAACCCCATTGTTCTGTTTTCATTGTTAGCATCATTTGTCCATCTCCCACCCAGGTGCGGCTGGTGTGGTTTGCAGCTCAGTGATGCTCCCGCAGCATCCTGCAGCCGTTCTCCCTGCAAACTGCTGATGCCCTCGTGGTTTGGGGTCACAGGTCTGCTCTACAGGGAGTCATTCCTGCAGCACTGCGTTAGTGAATGTGTCAGCTCCTCTTCTGGGCAGCGCAGACCTGTCATCAGTGCTGGCATCTGCACAGCCAGACTGGGGACAGTGCTCAGGAGGGGGTCACAGCCCTTCCCTTGGTGACTGTGACTTCTCCCAGTGCCAGGGCTGTCACATCAGCCATTCCCTGTGGTGTCCAAGCAACCTGGTGCTCAAAATCCCCTTTGCTTCTCTGCCTTTGGGCAGAAAAAGGAGCAGTTAGGGTCTGCAGGAGCCTGAAGGCACATCCTCCCCCCTGCAGGTGTGTTGGAGGCTGCACCAAGCAGGGTCCAGCACCCATGGGTGCTGGTGTCAGGTGGAATACACCTCCCATTACACCAGCGGTGGGCTAAAGGTGGGGCACTTGCTGAGGCTGGATTGTTGTGCAGGTGGCTTGGGAGGTGGTGGGGAGAAGGAGGTGTCCCACAGGGCTCGATGGGGAAACCTCACCGATTGATTTCCGTTCCGTTTCGGTAGTTCCGTGCAGTCCTTCAGCTCCTCCCCATCCCTGGGGGGAAGCCATGAAAAAGGGGGATGGGAGGATGAGCCTCCCCCAGAAGGAAGCATCCTGAGAGCAGGGCACGGGCCAGGAGACATCCGCTTCTCCATGCGCAGCGCAGCGGGAGCGCATCCCTGCGGGAGCGCCCGCACTGGCCTGGTTCTGCTGAGGAGGAAACCACAGCACAAAGCAGGGA